TTCGACTTAGTCGAGCAATAACTAATCAAATATGAAAATTAGCGTTATCATTTATTTTTGTAAATATGTATAAACATGTTATTTAAAGGTATTAATAGTATCGAATTAATTCAATAATATTTCTACGAATTACACTCAAAATATTATCTGTGTGAACGTGTCGCTTACATGTGTACCAATGACGGGTTAAGTTATTTATTTATATAAAAATCATACATTCCACACATAATAAAGTTATAAAATGTAATGTTCTGGTGTATGGTTTACTTGGTTTATAATATTTTATGCGTTTATATATATATATATTAATATTACATATGACCAAATGATAATATTTTTATAATGCCTGTAATTTTTGTTTCTTTAACATTAAATTTAACTAAAGAGGATTATGACCAGGAGCGGATCTAGTGGGGGTTCAGTGGGTCAGTTGACCCACAGTTAATATTTGTTGGCTAAATTGGCCTCTTGGAAATTTTTTTCTCCTTTTAGACCTTGATTCGGACTCTTGGACAGTTGACCCACTGGAGTTACTTGAAAAATGAATGCCATGTATATTCAAAATTTTAAATTATTCAATTCATAATTTATATTTTAAATTATATCGTTTTAGTAGAAAGTTAAGTAAATCATATTTTATTCCGTATGTTTGTTGCGCTGATAAAATTAGATTATATTTATTAATCATTATCAGTGGTATCACTAATTCTAAAATGTAATATAAATATACTTATACACTTTTATGAGAATATTGTGTTTTTTTTTTACAAGGTATTCAGTTTCATCCCTAATAAATGGCTCTTGAAATGGCTTGACCCACAGTTCCCCGACTCTGAATGTGCCCCTGATTATGACTATCACACATTTTGGTCAGTTTAGTTATTTTATTCTGATGCAATGATCTTACGTGTCACATTAACGCGAATCGATAGACAAAATAGTATTTTTTTCATTTGGTTTTGATGTAAATATTTGATTTTAAATTTTGCCTGCTTCATAACACACTAATCGTATTATCATATTTTTAATTTCCTTTATGTTTATCATATAAGGTTATCCGTAAAATCATTGATAATAAAATACTATTTTTAGTAATTTATAATATAATTTTAATGTAATATGACTGAAATTAACGCTTGATCTGTATTTATATTAATTTAAATTTGTAGTTTCATTGACTGCTGAAATCCGTTGCTACATTATTTTTTACTTAATTTTTGCTTGTCCTCCTTCGCCGTGGACCTGCATATATTATATATATACTTATATTAATAGTTATTAATTAATTAAGTTGTATTCCATGTATAATAATAATTATATGTGGTGTGTCAAATGTTTTGATCAAATTATTTTGGTCGTTTTGGCTTTCTCTATTTAAATGGGTTTTATCTGACCGTTTCCTTTTACGACACAGGATTTAATTTTAGTAAAAATATTAATTAGACGATTACTCTTTAAAATAATAAAGTAATCTATATGAAGGTATCCGTACAGTATATGGTCATATTTAATTATAAATAAAAATGTAAAAGATTGATCAAATCATATATTTCATTGAGTATACAAATACAATATACCATAAATATTTTTAAACACTAACTTATTTTAACTTATGTTATACTGATTTAAAATGATAGTTTTTATTTAGAGGTCTTTTGGCGGAATTATATTTGAAATAATAAGAATTATTCTTATAAATTGTAAAAAAAAAAAAAAGAACATCAGAAAGGTTTGAAATACTTATATTAATATTTTATCAAACTTCTAAATCACTTAATTTGCACTCTGGGTATTTAATCCGAAAAGTATATAGTTTGTGATTTTCAGACGGTTCGATGGCGATTAACTTGCACATTTGGTGATTTAAAGTACCTATTCAATAGTCATCGTTTTTCCCGACGTATCGAAAAGAATATTTTGTGATTGTTCTAACACAATTGAACGCGCAAGCCAATTATTATTATCGATACCGGCCGTAGTTTCAATAAAAACGAAATTCAGAAGAGCTCGAAAACCTTTTTTTTGTCAATACAGATGCACTACCGCTGACGAACAAACGAGAGAAAAAAAAGTTTTTATTGAAATACCTCGGGGACCCAATCGATGCGTTATTGCGACAATTCTTAGCACTACGAAATAAGTTTATCGTTCACGAATAATATCAGCCATTATTCACACTGTTTTCTAGATAAAATACATATTATTCTGCATGTTCATAATTCGTTGTATAATGTTTCTCGAACAATTTTTTCTAAAAAAAAAAAAAAAACCATACAATGGATGTTCGTTATTTTCTTATCTCTTGTAAAGATTTATAAAACGTTTGGTGACATTGTTCGTGTTAAATTATTAGTCCCTAACAATATAACGAGTGCCATTATTTATTGTTTTTGTAATATATTATATATTTGTGACATTTAGTATGAGTAGTCCAAATAATTATTATCTAAATGGTTTTTTTGGAACATTTATAAAATGTTTTTTATGAATAATCTGTATTTGTTTCTGTAATAAATGATGTGTTTATAAAGACTATTACTAATTTAAAAAATTAAATTAAATTAAACAAAGTGTTTAAATAAATAAATAAATTTTTAGTCTGGAGTATTTATTTATTTATATATTTATAGTTTAGATTTTTTTAATACTATCATGGTAAATTTGTAACATTTATACATATATATATTTATAAATAATTGAATGTACTTAAAATAATAAAAAAAAAATGATAAATATTTTCGTTTTTTGGAACATAAATTATTAAGTTTTAGTTTACACAGTTGTAAAATATTAATAAACACGGTTTATTTTTTTGTCGAGATTTTCCTTATAATTAATTTTTTGCTACAAATAATAGTCTTACAAATTAACACTTTTTACTATGTATTGAAATCGTGTTAATGTAAAAATTAAAAAAAAAATAAAAATGGTATTATACAAATGATAAAAACCCTTTATAGAATTCAATGAGAATTAAAATAATCTCAATCAATAGGTATGTGCTAAGAACTGACGAAAAACGAGTATTTCGGAACATTGTAACCTGTAACCGCATTTTACAATTACAAGCATATATCAAAGCTGTCGGCACTGGTCGGAAACCGATATTATGGATCGAGTATAATAATAATATTGTATTATGTCTATGGGTATAACCCACTTAATAGCACGAAATACATATAATGAAATTTGACTGTATATTTCAACGTGAATTAAAATAACGCAATTAATTAATGACGGTCGACAAATAAGAAACAGTCTGCCTGCTTCCGGCAATACGTGGATTTACAATTAAAGTTATGTGACTTCGATCATGCAAAAATGAGACATCGACGAACACGCAACTGTGACAACCGTTAATCTATCAAACTCGAAAACCCATATACTGACTAGAGTCCGATGCACGCCGGTCCTTACAGGGGCGTATTTAGACTTCTAGAAGGGAGGGGGGGGGTGTGACTCAAATTTTTTCTTTAATTCAGACTCAAAATTTACAAGTAAAATTGTTGGTGATATGGTGATATTTAAACCAGGTGAATCCTTAATATTTATGGATCCACTTAGAATCGATGGATCGACTTTTGTGTAGTTCTTTTTTCACACCTGTCTATGTTTTGAAAGTTATTCTTGTGTTTTATTTGATTTTTCACTAAGTATAGACCCGACAAAAAGTCCAATTCAGTATTCACAGACACGCGTAATTTAATTTTTTTATAAAATGATCCACGTTAAAAGAAATTGTAATGTGTATCTTATATATAATCAATTCCTTAAATACGGATTCAGGTAAGGGGGATCACCCCTTCGCCCCCTAAAATACGCTCATACGTTCTTATACCTATGGCAAACCTATAGTACAAACGTGTTAGAAATGTTTTGGTTCTGCCTCTCACAACCGGTTCTTCGCACGATCAGTGAGGGAAGTACAGTTACTCTGCGCTCGTACGCACAGCCGTAGACCGGAAGTGACTGAACCGCCCCGTAAGTACTTTATTTATTTCTTAAATATTATATGCTTTATTTTATCGTACAACAAGTTTAAATATTTTAAGGACGTTTAGATGTCGTCAATATCGTTATGTGTCACTGTCACGTTTTCGTATGTTTTTCAAAATTCGACGCTTAACCGATACTGTTAACCTATCGTTTTACTGGTTTCGGTGTAAAAATTCAATAATATTTTTTTATGTCTCTAGTTTTGAGTCTTTGAGTGATTTAACCGTTAGGCAACTTTTACCAGAAGCTATTCGTAAACTGGTGTATAATTCGCAATCAACTAACGGTGAGTAAAAGCTTTAAACATTCGTTTAATGTCTTTTCGTTCCTTTGTTTTACAAAATGAGTGTTACGATCACACAAAATATTAATTTGACCGACGGATTGTTAATTATGGTATTGAGGAATAGACATTTTTTTTTTAAATGATCTTACTCTTATGTTATTCCGTGCACAGAAGGTAATCGAAGGTAGTTCAAGAAATCGTTTATATTTTATGATTTGGTTATTTCATGTCAAAACTAATTCAGTATATTTATCGTATAATTGTATGTTATTAATTTGCGGTACTAATCACTACCGCAGGTACACGTGTACTAATCAACAATGTCCAAGTAAATTGCCCATGAACATCGAATTATTATGTAAAGTACCTACTTTACATCACACGTCGATCCTACCTAAAATGGCAACGTCTCGATCATCACATATAACTAAATCAAAATGGTATCTGTCCTCTTATTCCAATTCTTCACAATACTAAAAAAAAAATAATTTATTCCATTCATCAAATCGTTACGTTGCAATGGCTAAGACAGACAGTGAAACCGAGGTATTCCTATCTAATACCGTATTTGGATGTGAGTAACTATCTTAAACTGAAGTGACACCTAAGCACTCTTGTATACCAGCGATTTGTGTAAAGAACATCATCGATTTCTCAATATTCAATTAGAAATTAATATTACTCACATGTATTAACAATTTTTTGTGTATGTCCACAGCATCATTCATACTAGTTCAGCCCAAAAAATGGTTACTTAACCGATACTGATACAGATTTTCACTCATTTCGTCCGTACTGCAAACACCAATATAAGGTAACTAATTACTAAAAAAAATATAAGATAGTAATTAGAAATCTTCATCATTCTACAATATTGACTGATGGCTCTAGCCGAACTAGGACATGAGTGTGGTTAATATTAAAAATAGTCATCGACTCTTACCATTGTTTCACATAGAACCGACTATTGATGAAAACACATAGAAGACTTCAAGATTGATACACCACTCTACTCTTTTAAAGTTCTTGAAGGACCACACACAAAATAATATTATTCACCACAAAGCCACACATATCAAACAAATGACCATACACATAACCACTGCAGCCAACCCTATCTAAGTGCGTTGAATACGGTGAAGATCATTTAACTGAAAAGTGCACCGAAGATCGTAATTTCACTGTTCACTATGCTTTAATACACATATAGCATCATATAATGGTTGTATAATACACAAAAAACTGATATAAATAAATAAATCAAAAATGGTAATATTTCAAACTCAACATGTTCCTACAATTCGTTACGTATCCAATACAACCTCATCAAGTCCAGTATACACCAGCATAACAGTCGTCAAAATAACATCCTATATTTCCGATTAAATTATTTTACATTCGGTTCTATATTTTATGCAGCATATATTTTATATATATGTATGTATAACATACAAATATGATATTAAATATTATAAATTTGTTAGATCATTAATTTGCTGATACATTTTATATTAAATAAACATAAAAAAAATAATTTTAAATTATCTGTATAATACTCAATTTGACAGTCATTTGATATTTGAAATGTTCAAGAAAAAATATTTGAAATTCATTGTTTCAATTTTTTTTAGAATTTTTATATCAACAAATAGAAATTTTCCATTCAAAAACTTACATTACATTGTGACGCGGACCCGTGCGGCAGCCGTTACCGAAACGGCCGTCGCCGACCGTGCCCTTATCTCTCTCATCAACTACCACTTCGTGGCACGCAACGTCGTAGCGACACCCCGTCCTCCCATCCATCACCGGTCAGGGGACGCGAGCGGTCGCTACGACGTCCGACAGGTACCACCATCTGAACCGTTCTGTTTTTCCGAAACCGTGTAACGAGACAAATCTCAACCTTTTCTTTGTTCTTTTTGTTTTGATCACTGCCACACATTGTGTAAATTTTTTTTTGTGTGTTCTTATTATTATTATTATTAATATTGTTCATCTTGACCCTTAAGATACAATTAAGTGATGTAACTTAACCCGCGTCACTTTTATAATTTTTCTTATAACGGTGACCACCGCATCCGCGACATGTGTACATCATCACCGTCACCGAGTGTACCGCGTCAATTGTCTATTATTTCTGTTATAAATAATATTAAATTTAATAAAAATGCCACCTCAATGTAGGTACTTATTGTTTCTTAATAATTAATTTTAAAACGAAAATACATACTTTAATTTGGTTTTAATAAAAAACTGTAAATAAAAAAATTATTATTAATACATTTTGTATGTTCGGTTTAATTATTCATTAAATCAGTAAAATTATTATAGCAGAGTAAGGAGGGGCCACTTTAAGATTATCGTTTGTGTGTAAATATGATAATTTTTCTTATAGATATAAGTGTAGATTGTTAAGTTAGTTATCTGTCATTCGGTGACCTGTACTGGACGAGGAAAAATATGAAACACATGTCACTTATGGCATTTTAAAATAAAATATTATTATTAATCACTAATTCCGCATTTGTCTGAACTAAATATTTACAATTTTAGTTCTGGCTAAAAATCAGATTGCTTAGTCTGTTAAATCATTTTGTTAGTTTTTTAAAATGTGGTGAAATTTAAAGTTTTTATCTTTTATAGTACTCTACTGAAACATGCTCAAAGTATAGATTTTTCAAACTACAACTGATGATAAGATAAAAATAATATTTTAAATATTCTGGAAAACTGTGTATAAATAAATTACACTTTTAGCATTATTTAAAAAAATAAAGAAATTATATAATATTTTCTTCAAAATTAACTATTGATGTTTTTGTTATACAATAATGATAGAAATTAATAAAAATATATTTGTATATTTACACTGAAATCATGATTATCATAATATTTATTGTAACATATGAGTACTAAAAATATACTATATATAAGTACTTTTGTACGAACAAATAACCATTCTTAAATAACATTATTACACTTACAGTTATTTTATATGTTTAATGTCCATATCATCATATTTAGTCCATTTATTTGTTCAAAAGAGGTATATGCTTGAAACCTAAAATTTGGGGTAATGTATATGAAATAATTTCCATTGTTTAATTTACTTAATATGCAACAAAGCATTAAATGCATATGTAAGCCTAACGCTTCTCCGTTTTTTACACAAATCGATTGATATGTTGAATATATTATTGTACGGCGGAGATATACAACTTTACCAATTTATTTATTACCATCCTAGCACGAGTAACTTAAAATCCGAACAATTGTTTAACGGTGTTGTATAATAATGGTGTTTATATTTATTTTACAATATTTTATGATTAAGTATTAAACATCATTGTGTTACTCATTTGATACCTATAAATTTTACGAGATTAACGATTTTGTGGGCTCTCACATTAGAGCTATAAATATTAATCAAGATACTTAAGAATATCTAGTGCAGAGATAGCCTGGTCAACTATATTGCAAGGATTCCACTAAGTAATTCTATCGGCTGACATTCGATATTCGTCAAGAATAAGGTCACGTAACAGTGTATAATACAGGGTATCCCAGGATGGTTAGACAAATGGAATAACATTCGTTCTGTTTATTATTTTTAATTTTTTTTTTTTTTTTGATTATTGGAACTCAAATTTGAACATTTTAAATTTTATTCTACAGTTTGGAAAAAAATTCAAAATACGAGTAGCTATTTTGTAAATATGATTTTTGGAAAAAGTATGGTTTTAAAATAATTTGCTAAAGTTTAACTATTGATTTATTATAAATTTTTAAAAATGTGAATTTCATAATTAAAATGATTGTACAGTTATCGTATATTATATCTAGATAAAAGTAATGATTACGATTATTTTTTCCAGAAAATCAAGTACATGATTTAAAATATTTTATGCATTTGAAATGTAATCAAAATATAAACAAGAAATGCTATCTACATATGTATATCATTATTATTGAAGTAGGTATTTAAGAAGGTATTATTCAATTAATATTTATAATTATAAAAAAATGTATATTATATACTTTATATTGGTTTCCTGTGATAAAAATCATGTAGAGCCGAGGTTTTCAAGATAGGGATCACAAAATATTGTTTGGGGTCCTCAAAAAAAAAAAAATAAATAAATGGTTATTCAAAAAAGAAAATATATCATTTCAAATATCAATTTGATTATTATAAATGTACAATAAAATATAAAATAAAATAGTGTGTGCCATAATCTTATCTGGCGAAAAATTATTAACTATAAGCGATTTTAGTTACCGATTTTAATTGAATTGTCATTTAATATCTGATTATATTTATACTCGTACGGTACGAGTCGTACCGTATACAAGTTGTAATTCAACAATTTTAGTCACAGATATAATATTTAATAATATTTAATATAAAAGCTAATATGGAAACTATAATTTCTAAAATTCATGCATTTTAAAACAAGAAAATTGCTATTATACAGAAGCTATGAGCCTGTGGGCTAGCGAGAAAACCTCGGTGGGCCGCTTAAATTATGAGACGGTCATGAATGTTTCGGCTATTATTTTTATATGCGATAATGAAAAATAAAACAAACATTAATATAATTAATGTATCAAATAATCAATATACTATATGTAGTATTAGTATATAGTATAAAATGTTGATTGTGATGATGGATTCCTTTCAAGGAACTTTGTGAGGTATAGTGAGGAAGTTCTCAATGTGCTCCTACTACTTTTATATACCATCCTAAACTTTCAAAATACTCTAGTATATTATAAATATAAAAAATATTTAAAAAAATGTTTAAAAAAGAACATAAGGAAAAATAAAATAAATTTTGTACAAATTATTTTACCGGAAAATTCTATACATATTGGTAAATTGTAATAAGAAATACAAGTATAAATTGACAAATTGTGAACTTTACATTGTTATAACTATTGTATAGAAGATCAAGCAAGATTAAAATTACATTTTCCACAATATTTGTAGTATTTTCATGGTTTTCTTTCCTATTTTAAGAAAAAATAAGTTTCAATTATGTCAGTTGGAAGGGTCCCAAGGTTTTTGGCCCATCCTTCTTTTATTTTTGCACATTATTAAAATATTCAATTATATTTTTATTTTTTGATTTATACTAATTTTTTAAGGACCCCTTCCCTAGACCTGATACTAATGGCAATGATGTTTTGTATAATAATCAAAGGGTAAAAAAAAAAAATTGAATTTCTAACATTAATCAAATTTTTTTTTTTACAAAATTGACAACATTCACTTAATCTAATAAATATATATCAGCATTTACTGACGAGTTGTATTATGCAGAGTACTTTTGTAAGTCTTATTATATTTTAATGATTACACAAATATAACCCAAATTGTAAAAAAAAAAAACACTCATTAAGTAACTTAAAAGAAAGTATGATGAAAGTGGTAATTAATAAACAGGGCTTGGATTTAAAAGCATTTGTGTATTATTAAAGAATATATTTGATTATCTTCTATTCATTGTCTAAAATATAAATAGACTAACTAAATGCTGTTCACATTATTCTAATAGGTAAAGTTTTTTATTATTAACTAATAATGGTTTTAATAGTATATGAGTATCATTATTATAGTGATAATAATGTAAACATTTATTTATAGTTAATTCTTCGAAAAAAGATTTTTAATGGCGATCAGCAATTTGATTTTGTTCTATTGGCACAAAAAAAATTAAACATGTAGCATTAAGCTTAAGATTTTAATGTACTCAAACAACATCAAACAAGAATCTACTTCAGATATTTTTCTTCTAAAGTGAAGTTTTA